CCCCTGCCTCTGCCTCCTGAGTACTGGGATTAAAGGCATGTGCCACCACACCCGGCTCAGACACGTAGTTTTAAAAAATTACTACCATTCTGGGGCTGGAGAGATGGCTCAGCACTTAAGAGCACTGACTGCTCTTGCAGAGGACCCGGGTTCAATTCCCAATTCCCAGCAGGCAGCTACAAACCATCCTTAACTCTAGTTCCGGGGAATCTGAAGACCTCTTCTGATGTCCACGGCATTGCACGACACGGGTGCACTTACACACATGCAGGCAATACACTCGTACACATAAAATAAAAATAATAAAACATTAAAAAATTATTACCATTCTTTATACTGTGCAGGTACATGGTGTCTTTTACAACAAACTATTTGTTTAAACAGCATCCTTAGAGTAGGCATGTTTTTGATAAGCAGGGGTAACAAGGTTAAAATAATGGCACACAGGGAATGAGCCTCAGTTTCCCTATTTGCAAGTGAGTGGGTGGCACTGCAAAGACTGTCCCCAGTATGTGGGTCCTGTGTTCCCTTCCTCCCTCTCCCCTACCCTCTTTCCTTTCCCCTGGCACACAGGCTGCACACACACACCACACATACACACAAAGAAAGCCAGGCTCCCTCTGCTCTGGGTCACTGGTGGTTCCCAGAGTGCCCACGGTGGTCCAGGATGCTCTAGAATGGGAGCTCCTGGTCTTGGTGTCTCTGGCTGCGGCCATTCAGCCTTTCCTACATTTCTCAAGGGAAGTGGCACGATGACTTACCCCTTTAACTAGGCATTGGGAGGCTGAGGCAGGAGGCCACTGAGTCTAGGGCCAGCATGGGGGCTACATAGCAGGACCCTGAATCAGAAAGGAAAAAAAAAAAATTCAAAGGGAAAAAGGGTCCAAGGCACAAGTATCTGTCCATCATCTAAGCCCCAGGGAGATACTGTAAAGTGCTTTATGCTCAGGTGAAGGATCCTTATAACTGATCTGCGACCTTAAAAGCTAGCTCATGGGAGGCGGGGGGGGGGGCCTCCTGGAGTGAAGGACAGGCTGACTTTTGCACTGTACTCAACTGCTTCTCTAGTAACTCTCCCAAGAAGACTGGTGTACCTGTCCCTCTTTTTCCCTGGCTGTTCTCCCACCACCGGGTGGTGCCCGCCTATCTTGAGAAAGTACTTATTTCAGAAAAGTGTCTGTGGTCCTGAGTGTGGCTCCGTCTCTGTGTACAGGCTTCAGTCACAGTGTATCTGCTGTGTGGCCTGGTCCCCATGTGAAAAGTACCAGGCAGGGAGGCGCGACGTACGACGGAGTGTGGTCCCACCTGTGCAACTGGATGCGTGAAGCAGGCGGGTGGACTTGTCAGGTTGCTGAGCTGGACCTTCGAGGCTGTATGGGTTTTCGCATCGCTTCGCAGTCAGTACCTGCCTTACGCTGCGCTGCAGATCCCGCCGTCCCCGGGGCGCTGGGGGCGGAGCTGGAGGCGAGACAGGGCAGGGGACTGGCGGGATCGGGGGCGTGGCCGAGCGTGGTTGGAGGCGGGGCCAGAACTGGCCGGTGGGGGAGGGGCCTGAG